TTCTGCATTTTTAATTTTCTCGTAAATATCTGTAGTTTAGTAAGATGTGACAATACTAAATTTCTAAAATTCAATTTTAATATGCCCATCTTTAAATACAAACGATGCATACAACAAATTATAATATATTCTAAAGTATAAAAAGCTACATTTGTTGGACAACCTTTCTTCTTTTTCAAAGTCAACTTACACGGCGAACAAAAAAGAAACGTGCGAGAACGGTTAACAACTAGTACTTCTTCCTCTTATTTGGGAGAGGTTCACTCGACGATCCTCTCCCATCGTTAAAGAAGCATTCTCGTGATTTTCTCCTCATCTTCAGTCCACTCAGATGCAAACAGAGATGTGGCTTTTGGCAGTATCCGAATAAGAGACAGTTCTTTGTCTAATGTCTACCTCATGAATACTGCCTCAAAGAATATCGAGGCTGTCTAGAAGGTGCTAAAGACTCAAGCTGTTTAATTTTCCATAGCTTGGCCGTCCTTTCATATCGTTATTTGCTTTCATAGTTTGCTTCCATAAAAATGAAGATTGATTATGTGTAAGATGACAGAATACTATGCACTAGAAACAAAATCGTCCTATTTCGGTGTTTCCTAACCTCTCTCATGTTTGGATTCTCTCTTATAATGTTTTATGAACAAATATTTTATAATGGCTCGCTTTTATTATACTTGCATAAAAAGATTTTCTTTGTGAGAAGATCTAAAAAACAAACACAAATCAGAATACATTACAAATAGGAATTTACATAAAGTTGCGTACCCGCGAATCTGATTATATACGTCGCATTAACTGTTGTGTCGTATACTTACAATTGAGGAGAAAATGGAAAAAATGTGAGAGTATTTATATCTACTGTTATCGATTCTAACTGTTTTATCATGAGTCCTTATATGTTTTAATTACTTATTCGATCGTCAAATTAGTATATCTGTAAAAAATATATTGAATCTGAAGTACGATATTCGCGTGTACTTCTAATAAAAAAAAGGTGAAAGCTATTTTTATATATAATTATATTAAAAAAAACAGATACCTTTTTATTTACTTTATATACGGAAAAATTATTTACCCTAGGCAAATTGGTATTCTAAACTGTAATCTTTGCAATAAAGACCATATTATTCATATGTATCATAATCCAAAGTATACTGTGATTTCATCATCAAGTATTTAAGTAGCAGTATCAGTTAATGCGCTGATACTACAGTCGCATATAGTTCTCAAAGAGAATAAGTACCCGTTAATGTATAATTCATATCCATAGAAAGGTTTCGTGCTTTTCTTCTCAAAGTTTTGTTTCCTTTATCATTCTCTCGTCGACATAAATCAAATTGTAAATTATAAAGACAAATGGCTAATCAGTATCATAACTTCTAGAGTAGTCGCGTCTCAGTTGTGATCATCTGAAGTGCAATAATATTAAAGTATAATAGAAGTATAATATATAGTATACAGATTGTTATTATCAAAATTTTTCATGAAATGACATAATATAAAAAGTACTAAGATTTATGTTTATAAACTTAATTCTTAATTCTACATGAAGTGATTGATTCCATTAACAATTAAAATTTAATACTTAATCTTTAAACAAACTTAGGTTTGCTCCCTTTCTTAATACATTTCGTGGGAAAAGAAGCTGCGTTCCTTATGTGCTCTCTTCGAGATCAATCCATCGACCGCGCCTTCGCAGAAGCGGCCACTTCTCTCCAAATGAGAGAAAGGTGGCACGACCTCGTTTCCAACTCCAGCGTTTGTGTCTGACCTCGTCGATTGATAATCTTTTGGTTTGATCTTACATCTTACGGTATATCTTAGGTTGCTTTCGAGAGAAAAAAGCTATGAGTAAATAGATTTTATCATTCTATCGAGAGAAATGAATAGTTATATTTGCTGTAAGTAAAATTTTCAATGCGATTCTGTTACGTAATATCAGGACAAGGAACCTAAAACTTAAGACTGAAATAGATATAGTTATCTCATTTTTAGTATAACAATGATGAGAAAATTAATAATAGTAAGTTTCTCGTATATGATGCTAACGAAATGTAATATACATAAGAAAACTAATAAAGAAATAACTATAATGAGCGATGACTACATAAACATAACCTTTTCAGCATCTCCATAGCATTGAAATTTTTCGAAAGAGGTTATGTGTAATAGCGAAAAAAGAAAAGGAAGTTTGTAAAGTTTCAAGACACATAGGAGATCAGATACGTATCAGCCAACTTCTCGGCCGTGTTAAAGGTGCACCTCGGAAAATTCTGACAGAAGAAAGGAGAAAGTCGTCCAATCGGCTAACGAGAGAATTACAGGGAACGCCCGTATGAATCGAGGGAAAGATCGTCGGTAGGAGGATCTTCTATGCGTGTATTGACTTTCTTTGATAGTGAAAGGAAGAGCTTTTTTTAATTGGGGATCCGGCAGATCGATTTCTCGTCAGAGGGAGCCACGAAAGCGTGCCGATGCACATTAGGTGTTGGAAAAAGAGAAATAGTCGGCACAAACTATGTAGATCGTGAAGTTCATTATTGAAAACTTGTTTAAAATTAATAGCTGAATTGTCGTAATAGTCGATACGTACATCGTGTACGCATCTTTCATGAGAATATAGAAGATATACAGGTTGTCTTAGTATTGAGTGAGTATATGAAAAATAAGTCGAAAATATAGAACAAACCTTTTTCGTTTGTGGCTTCGTTTTCGAGAAAATCAAATTTCATCATTTCTTCAGCGTATGAAAATCTGGCTAATTATCAACTAAATGTGAGTAAATAATCAACAGGAGGTTATTCTAAACGTGAAAATAATCGTTTAAGGTCTCGTTTCCAAAAAAAAAAGAAATATAGTTTGGACATGTCTAGTTAAGAATAGACCTGGTATACGCGTACTCGATGTATGTATATGTGTATGTATATAATAATTATCTTTGTACTAGATTGAACATGAATGATTGAGATTTGATTCGGTATATCTTTTCTTGAACCTAAACCTTTCAGTTAAAGCTCAAGTATTATTACATTGAATGTAATAAAGTAATACATATGTATAATACCATTCCCATAAATGGTCACAGCTTGAAATCAAGTGATCGAAAAAATGGTGGGGATAATTTGTGGTCGTAAACGTTGCACAAGAGGAGCAGATAAGAGATCTTGATCTGGTTATGATTTCTAGGAACATTAATAAATTCAATCTGCATAGGACTATGTGCATCGAAATTAGTTAATGCAGAGTATTTAAATTATTTATTATAATTCGTCTCACAAGTGAAATCTATAAAAATTTGATGCTATTAAATTATGAATTTTCTGTGTGAAAATCATTATACATAAACTGACAAAAGATAATACATACTACGTGATCGATGTTCTGATATCGAAATATGCATCAACACGGTTGCGGAGTCCGTAATAAAATTCAGTCCATCAATTCAGATTTAATAATTCATGAACACAATGTAAATACAAGGATTGATGAACTGTATCCTTCATATTCACCTGTCATCAATTCCACAACAGAATGCGCTTCAGTAGCATTCTACCTTTCTTTACCTTTCCTTTTTTTCATGTGAACACGACAAAGCTTCTCGATTCAAATAATACCTTTCTCAGAGCGAGGAAAAGTTTTCCTCTCAAACGATATTTAAAACGCTCTTTCTGCTGCAAGAAAAAGAACTCGCTGATAATAAATAAATCAGTGCGAGAGTTCCGCCAAGCGTCTAGTGGCCTGTTCCTTCGAAACAGCTCATAAGAAACTGCCTTAAGGCTTGCGTAACACGAGGCCGCACCGATTTTACGACGTTCGCTGCACGGTGACCGAAATTTTGATCAGAAAGCCGTCACGGGAATCCGATTCGCATAATACTGTGACGCAATGTGAGTCGATTGTGAATTACGAACGTCCGTATATACAGTAGGAATGAAAATTAGCTACTTGAATAATGTTCTTTTACTTCTGCACTGTTATTTAAATATTGCTCGTTTAAGATTATATATCATGAAACTTTATAATTAATAATATTTTTGTACTTCTTGCAAATATGCTAGATTTTTATGTTTTATTTATTATTTTTATCCTCTAAATGCTAGATTTATTTATTTCAGTTAGTTTCAGAGTAGATTTAATTATAACTAACTGTGTTTTATTATTTTACTGTGAACAAATAAAATTGAATATGATGTATTAGTAATATTTACTTGATCAAAACTAAGAAGAACATTTTTCTGATGCGAATCGTTCAATGATTTTTAGGAAATTCCCAGGAATTTTTAGCCAACTTTTGTGAAAGAAAATGAAAGAAGATATCGATGTGAAACTTTTCTATTGTTCTCTGCCATTACTGGGCCATTATTGCATCCTGTAATTCCACATTTTGCACTCGGTGTATGTATTGGATTTCACAGTCTATGGGCCCGTTTCCATTGCGGGAACGACGAAGAAAGCAGAAAGACCACAGCCCGTGTCCGGCACGCGATCTTCCGCGATGTAAATCGTATGTACAGCATAATGTAATCAGAATGATGTCAGTAGTACGATCGCGGCATCGTTTTGGCAAGATTCTTTCAACGAAAGAAAGTCGGTAACTCGTTCAGTACCGCACAGGCATCGAGATCCGTGATCTATTAATCGTGATTTTAACAACATATACGTACGACATACATACACATTAATACTATATTATTATTACTACGCTATTAATATAATATGAGAATTATTTTTATCAAAGAAAATTGAATTGAATTTTGTTATGTTTTCTTTCTTCAGTCTATATTAATATTTTTTGTGATATTTACTGAAAGTATGTTGCTTTAATATGAGATCTGTGGTTCCAATTTTGAAGCTAGAACTATACTGTTTATCATTTACCTCTACTACTGTTTATATCTACTGTTTATCATCTGAGAATTTAGGTGCTCTTCAATTTTGAACGAAAATCGATGGCTTCGGTACAGTGAACTTGAGAAGTTTCATCGTAGCTGCTTGTTCTATACGATGTTTTCAGTTTGCGTTTGACAAATAGTTCTGTCGAAACGGAATACAACCAGTTTGTTATTGCTAACGAAGACGCTTGGAACAATACCAAAGAGTGTTTCCCCACTTTTCGGATAATTGCAACGACGCTTCTGCAATATTGTAGCATTGTTAAGCAAAGCAGAACTTGGAACTCTCTATGATTATAGAGTAAATTGAATAAGCCTTTATTTAATCAAACTATTCTTCCATCACTTATTATCTGCCTTTAGTAATAGTAATGCAATTGTGTAGAAGATCATGTAGTAAACAATGGAGTAATATTTGAACGTTGAAAAAGATTTTTACCTCAATTTCCTCTTCGATTTTAATTTCTTGATCACCATGTTGGACATGATATCTTTTCTATAGATAAATTGAATAGCTAAAAATAAGTAATAGAATAAAAGAGATAAAACTATAATATCATGAATATTATAAAATAAATAAAGTAAATCTATCTATTGGGCGTAGTATCTACCTTCGCGCTAGTGTAACAGCCAATGCACAGTCGGAAGCCGTATTGTTATTCGCAAAACTGTATTATTTGAATTGATTGTTAAATGCAACAAATATTGGTTTGCGTTTGAAATATAATAGAATGCGGAATTCAATTTTACCTGTAATTGACAAAACCATAAGTATATATTGGTAGAAGTGCATACCAATTAGAAAAAGAAGAATATGAGTCTGAAAATGAATCTAATGTATTTCATAAATTGCTGAAAATAAAATTGATTTAATATCAAATTATTCGAAATAGAGAAATTTGTAATTTTAAATTATTTGAAACGGAAACTAGTTATGAGTTAATTAACAAAAAACAATTTATGCCTCGATATTAGAATTAAAAAGATAGTAAATCAAATTAATGTGATTAAAGAAAAATGCATTAAATAGTAATTAAATCGCAAGTTGAAAGGACGAACGGCGAAATCTGTTTGGAAAATTCAAGTGAAAGATTTATCGTGCAAGCTCAGTCAGCGTAGGTATTTATTAGAAATCATCCGTTTCGTGAGTGTTCATACTTCGTTAACTATGGTTGCACTCTAAATATTTTCACACGCAATACCAGTAATGACGGTGATGACGATGATAATTTTTTCGTTAGAATAACAAATTCTTTTGGATGTTTCTGAGATCATCCCAAGGCACTGAGATCATCGCTTGCGTTTACAAGGATGATTAATTACCCTTCTTACTTATGAATGAATAATAAATGGAAAATTTAACCTGTAAAAATTTCTCATCTAATGAATACGCTAAGCAGAATTAGTCACCTTTATATTCTCTTCGCTATATTTTAAACCTGTAAAAATTCTAAATTAATATCAAGAATCATTTTTCGCGACTAATTCGCAATGTGTTATTACTTATGGATATTAATAGTATTATATATACTTTATAATTATATATAATAATATTTATAGAGATCAATTAAATATTTATAGAGATTTATAGAGAAATTTAATAATATTTATAGAGATCTATATTAAAAATCTAGATCGAAGAAATCGAAATCGAATAATCGACTTCCTTACGTAAAAACAAACACGTTACGTGAACGTTACGTTTAGTTACCATTCTGTGATATGAAAATGCGAACCACGTAAGCTAGGTTTGCTAAACACCAAAAGGAGACCACGATAAGATAATCTTGTATTCACAAATCGTATGCGACAAACAGAAGCGTGTAAACTGCTTACGTTGCCGAAATTGGAAATCAATTCTTTTCACTCTATGTCTAGGTATTATACCACCATATTTTATCTATTGTCACTCTAGTAAATCCTATGTTCCATCCTATGTGCCAATTTAAAATCCTCGCCACTTTTCACATTTTGTCTGCAAAAATATTATTTTTATTCATCTTTATTATATAATATTTGCTAATGTATATAATATTATCTATAAATTAAATTACCTTCTTAAAAATATTTTTTATTTTTCTTTTTGCATCTTTTTCTCATTTTTTCTTTTACCTTAAATGCACAAAAAAAATATAAATGTTTGAAATATCATTAAAGTATCATATAATTACTAGATACTGAAATGTCTATACAACTATAACCGAATCTAAATGATTGAAATCGGAATTTGAGAACACTCGATGAAGTTGATCGTGTGAGTGGATTTGAGATAACAAATGCATATGACGCATAACGTAACACGCTACTTTTTCTAAATTTCCGAGTTCGCAGCTGGAAGGACGACTACATTCACCGATTATAAGTTTTCTATGCGCTCCGCATAGTTTCCGCCTAGAAACTTCGAAAATCCGCGTTAGTAAATGCAATTGGTTAACAGAAATTAAAATTCATAGAAACAAATTTCTCCGTTCTCACTTGATATCATGTAAGATATCGGAATGTCCAGAAATGTTAAAATACTTCGTTAAAAGAAATTTCTGAACTGAAATCAAATTTGAATTCGCTTTTTTAACCGATAAAAAGAGCAGGAATTTTTATTACAAATTTTTACAAATATTCGAAACCTGTTTAAAATTGGGGTTAGATTTTAAATTCGCGTGTTCCTATGTATTTCGAATTTATTTCGAATTCATTTTTTCAAGAATCAAGAAAACTGTTATTACTGGGAAAATTGAAGAAGGAAATTAATTTCCTACTTAGTATTTGCCTTACTTTTTCCAGAGAAACTGCGTCCTTTCTCTCGAAACAATTCATTTAACCCATGCAATATCTCAAACACATTATTCACAAAACCAACCGATCTCCCAAGTATTTACAAGTATTATTAATTTATATCAATTAGGAAAATTTCTCTTCCAAATGGAAAATTACCGTAGTCGACGTTTATATAAATTCCATTAACACCGTGAAAGTATTTTCTATCATGTTTCTTTTATCTCCTTTTGCGGTTATGTTAATAGTTATGCCAATTGAATCGTGGTTGAGTATTTGTCATGAGACGGTTCAGTTCCTTGCGTTTCTGCGGATCATCAAGACTTGCGGTCACGTTTTTTCTACCTCCTTACCGACCGAGCAGAAAATCGTCGTTCCGATCGTCCAGCTCTACGATTCGCCATTCTGGTTATTATAATCTCTAGTTGCCATTAAAAATGACGAAAACAAGTAATAAAATGCAAATTCTGTATCGAATCCTTTGACAGTGTAATAAAACAACAAAGAACTCGTATAACATTGAAGCTGCGTTCTGAAAGAAAGCTTCCCTGCAGAAGTTGGTGGGGACAAAGATAGCCACTTAGCAAAGCAAATATTCGGACAGTCAATGTGTAACAATATAATATATTCCAATATACATTAGATATTTCTAATATATTCTAATATATCTCTAGTATATTCTACATTGCTATGCTTTGCTTATAGTTTTAATAGTACAAGTAAACAAATCTGCATTTGAAATCTTTATACTCTGCATTTTATAATTTCAGATTGTGCGGAGGTGTTTAGCATTAACGGTATCGACCTGTTTGATACTGTCGGTAAAATTCGACGTTGTGCAAGCCGAAAGATGGTCGCGACAAGTGTCAAACAGCGAATGGATACCGTTAGCGAATCCTAGGGCGGCACAAACTCAACTCGAACAAAATAGCCCAGCTGCGGCACCCTTGGCGAGCGGAAGCGCGCAGCTACCTCAACTTCCGCAGCTCTCCTTGCCGCCAGCACTTCAGCAACAGTATCAAGAGCAGTTAATTCAATTGCAAAAGACTCAGGAAAATATACAGAAGCTGTTGCTGCTGCAACAGCAACTTAGAGCTCAGCAACAACTTCTTCAGGTATAACGTAATAGACTGTATACATATTTATTTGATAGATGCTTAATTCAAACAGACTTATTTTAATTTTTCTATATTTATTCTAAAAAAAAGGAAGGATAACGTCAGAAGATTTAATATCTGGGTTTACTTTCAAACTTCAAACATAATAGTGTGTGTCTTCAATTTTACTATTTTGAAAGATTCTCTTGTCATTCAAGTTCAAGTAAACTTGGATCAATTTTTGTCAATTTGTTCAAAGGATTAAATATCCATCTCTATTTTTCACTTTCAAATGCAAATATCTTCAATTCTGTAATCTTCAAAAAATCTCTCAAATAATTCAAATAAATTAATATAAATTTTTCTGATTTAGTAGTTCTAAAAATTAAGCAGAGTAAATATCTACTTTTACTTTCAAACCTCAAACAAATTTAAATGTTTGATTCTATCTTTTTCAATCTCTGTTAATGCAAACTTATATCAATTTTTGTAGATACATCTGAAAGATTAAATGGTCAGTTCCATTTTTAAATTTCAAATTCTAATGTTTTCGATTCTGCTATTTTTAAAGAATTGTTGCTAATTCGAACGAACTCCTTTTAAAACTTACAGAAGTCTTTGTTTCCCCAGTCTCAGACTTTCCTACCAAGCGGCTTTAGCAACACAGACGAGGGAAAGCAACTGCATCAAGTCGGATTAGAGGGTACGCAGGTGGCGGATCTTTCGTCGGAAGATCTAGTGCCACCTCTTCCTGCCTCTGAAGCACTACCACCAGTTTTCCCAGCGCAAAACTTTCTCAACCAACGACCTAGGCCTCACTCGCCAACAAAACAGGATACGAGCCTTCCCCAAGAGTTCACGAATTTATCCGGTCAGGACATCAAGAATGGTCAGCTATTACAACAAGGGCAAAATATTGGAAATGTCGGACAAATTGAAGAGGATCAAAGACAAGGCTCGAAACAGCTAAAGGAACCGAGTCAGGCCTCTTTGCTGCCTCATGGTGAAAGTGCCCAAGATGAAGAGGAGGAGGTTGGTCTTGAGTTTTATTTTGAAATTTCCGAACCTAATCCAAATTTCTAAATATTGAAATTTTCGGACTCCCAAATTTCCAAAGCCTATTCTATTTCCTAATAATTAACAAAGATTCTTCACAGTTCTATTTTTCACTCGATTAAAGGATAAACATGTTTAACTCCTTTGTTTGATACTTGTTCTTCATAGGTGCAATTAGTTTACGTGCCAGCCGAAACCTTGGCGCAACGAGGTCAGCCGAAAAGAAACCGCGGACGGAAGCAGTATCCCCTCCGTCAACAACAGCAACAGCATCAACAACCTCAACAACCGCAGCAACATCACGAAAGCCCAAGTGTTGATACTTTGCATGATCAGGATGCGTTTGCCCGTCAAATATTACAACAAATCCAACAGGAACGCGAAGAAAAGGCTCAATTCTTCAAAGAAGAGCGAATGAAGGAGATCGCCAGGCTAAACGAGGAACAACGAGCACTGGAAAGAAAAGCTCGCCTTCAACAGGAAGCCCTACAAAGGGAGCAAGAGTTGCAAAGACAACGTGAGGCAGAAAAGAAGAAAAAGGAGTTAGAAAAATTGGAAGAATTAGCCAAACAACGAGAACTTGAAAGAATTCGCGAAGCCAGAGAGAAACAACGGTTGGAAGAACTGGAGAGGCGAAGATTAGCAGAGATTCGAGCAAAAGAGGAAAAACGTCGAGCAGAGGAAGCAGCCAGACAGAAAGAAGCTGAAAGGCTAGCTGCTTTAGAAAGACAAAAAGAACTAGAAGTCCAGCAGGCTCTAAAGCAACAACAGCTCCTTGACAAACAGCGTGAAAACGAAGCCAGAGTATCTGGACCAGAGAACCATGATATTCAAACTCATGCTCTTCCCTTGATTAGAGATCAACATCAACAGTTCCATCGTCAACATCTGTCAGAAAGTTCTAGACAAAGTAAAAATAAAATTAGAGGCAGGCAAAGACCGAAGACTCATTACCACGATCAACAAAATTACAGAGAACCGACTACAACGCCATCTCCCAATCAACCTCCTTTAGCAGTATACATGGGAAGTACCAGTTCAAAGACAGCTAATGTTAAAGTGTCTGACGTATTAAGGATATTAAAGGATGCCAAAACCATAGCTGTTCTGGACACAGTTGGTCCAGATACCCCTCAAGTATTCGTGGGTCCAACTAGTTTGGATCCACCAACAGGTTATGCCAAGTTTGATCTGCCTTATTTGTCGTCTATCGACCATAATCGTGTGGAGAGGAAGGTCGACAAATTACCTTTCTTCGTGGCACCACTCAGCTTCGATCCTCCTCCTGGATATTCCAAAATTCCCTTCCCCGCGCCACATATAGGATCAGTGGTAGTGAACACCTTAGACAATGCTCCAAATCCAAAAGACAGTGATGATCAAAACCCTAGTCCAACTCCTATAATAGAACCTAACTCTTACATAGATGGCTTGGACAGTGTATCAGATTCCACTACTCCTTCGTACGAGCCTCAAACAACTATAAGTTACTCTCCAGAACCATTAAGTACTCCTAAATATGAGCAGACATATACAGCATCACCATCTCCCGGATACTCTGGCTCCAGATTCAGATTCAGACAGTTTTATGGTGACAATAAGCCAGCCTCTGTGGTTAGTACTTCCTATTACGACGATCAGAGGACAGCTACAAAGAAGCAGAAGTACTATGATGAAAACTCGCAAACGACAGAGGTTTCTATTCAAAGTCCAAAAGTGGAAACTGCAGTGAGTCAAGTCGAAGAAGTTTCGTATTCTACTACACCTAGTTTCAAAGAAGAAACAATTGGTCAAGAGGATCCGTCGGGCCAACTGACGTTAATTAATCAACAGTTGGCTCAGCAGAGGGAGACACAGGAATACAACACTGGAGGGCAATACAGTCAACAGAATTCCCAATCCAACACTGGTCTCGTTGGTAGTTTCGGCGGTGAAATCACTGCCGGTGACATTAACGATGTTAGAGCTCCCGTTGGACCCACGCAATATAGTTTGCCGGCTGAACTACCGGCGATCTCTCCGCACCTTCCTGGTCTGGTGAATTCTTTATTGGACAAGAATGAGGCGAAACTGCACGCTGCTACGACAACTACGACTACGAGCAGCACTACCACTACAACCACTACGACACAGCGTACTCCTACGACAACATATAGGCCACGTAGTAGACAGAGGTGCTTTTCGTTTGAATTCTTTATGAGAGAAGTATATTAAAACGTTTAGATTCTGAAAGAAATCTAGTTGAATAAGCATGTAGTTTATTTGAACTTTAGATCTTGAGTAATCTTTGCTATTATAGTACACCTTGTTTATCCATACTTTCTTTACATGAACAAGTTGCCTATATTGACTATATCGTATGAATTGCAGTCGAACTTCAGTTGTTCAAAATAAATGCAATAGAAATACGTACTCTTATAATGAAGATAGGGACTGGGACTGTCCAAAGACTAATAACACGAAGTGGAGGGCCTTGTCTTCCAATCTGTGATAAACGAAGTTCCAA